GGGGGGGGGGGGGGGGGAGGGGGTTTGAGTTGTTTGGACTAGCGCTGGCAATGCTGGGGAAGTCCACGGAGATTTTATACGCTATAATGGAACGCAGGGGGCTTATGTGCTACCGTTTCTCTTTTCGTTAAAATTCATTTTTTACGGGAGCAGAAAGTATAAAGCTTTACAATTTAAAATGCTGACTCAATTTTTTGACTTGAATAATTATGATTATTGATTTAAATATATTTTTTAATATTTATTAGATTTATTATTAATTTAATAATTATAATTAATTAATTATGCGTTTGATAACGTTTTTATTTTTATATTTTTTTTATAAAAAATAAAATAAAACTAATTTTTATTTTTTTGAAATAAAAAATATAAAACATGTTTGATAATCATTTACATTTAAAAAATTATGAAAATAAAATAAAAAACATATTTGGTATTGTTGGCGGGAGTCATTAGAATTACTGGGTTATGGAAATTGTTGCTGTAGAAATCCCTTAATTCAAGGAATTAACCATCAGTTTAACCAAAGATACTGCATAGGCTAAGTATAGCATCCGAAATTATTTCCCTGTATCTTTATATCTTGAAAATGAATTAAAGAAATAACATATGAATATTATTGCAGTTTGACATAGTACCAGAGCATGGTCTTGGGTTTCCTGTGACTTGACCAAAGAAGGGAACCCAAACTACTCAAAATCCATGGCAAACTCCTCCGATCTAATACAACCACCAAATGTTACAATTGAATCCATCCTTAACAACTTGACAACCAAGATGATAGAGGTTTTGTCAAGGGCCCAGACCTAATCACCATTACCCCTCACTGATTCCCCAACAGTACTAGGCATCAAGTTAGATGGTTCTAACTATGCCTTATTGTCCCAGGTTGTTGAGATGCATATCTCAGGCAAGACAAATTGGGATACATCAATGGAGATTCGCCACAACCATCAGAGACAGATCCATCCTTTCAAAAATGGCAGACTGAGAATGCTATTGTGAAGGGGTGGCTAATCAATTCGATAAAATCTTGCTTAGTCGGGAACTTCATTCGCTTCTCGACTACCAGCCAAGTTTGGGATTCTATTTCTACAACATACTTTGATGGATCTGACACATCATAAGTTTATGATCTCCGAAGGCGATGCGGCAAGGAGGTGGATCCATTGAAAAATACTACAATGATCTACAAGGTTTGTGGTGTGAGATTGACTTTCGTCGTCCCAACCCGATGGAGTGTGTAGCGGATATACAGAAATATAACTCCATCCTACGGGAGGAAAGAGTTTATATTTTTCTGGATGGGTTAGATGATCGACTTGATAACATTTAAAGTGATATTCTTCAGCTGAAGCCCTTCCCTACTATTGAGTAGGCCTATGCACATGTTAGAAAGGAAGATACTCGCCAAGTTGTGATGGCATCTAGGGTCGGGAATGCCTCTAGTTGTGCTGTCATGGCCATTAAAAAGGTTAAACCTAGTCAGCCACAAACTTTGGTGAAGTTGGGGTCATTAACCAAAACTAAGAGCCAAACTGATGGGGGAAAGTGTACTCACTGTGGCAATACCAAACACACCCGAGATACCTGCTTCAAACTACATGGGTACCCTGACTGGNAACTGATGGGGGAAAGTGTACTCACTATGGCAATACCAAACACACCCGAGATACCTGCTTCAAACTACATGGGTACCCTGACTAGCATGAGTTGCAAGCTTGGAAAAAGAAGGACAACACAATGGCTGGGGAAGGCACGGGCCGAGCTGCTATGATCACTGCCGAGCACCAGTTATCACTCATTCTCATGGCTAATTCTTTTACTACTGTCAACGATCAAGATAATTGTGGATAGATTCTGTGTAGCTCCAGCACTCGAAATAATGATGCCTGGATCATTGACTCTGGGGCTACGGATCATATGACCTTTGAACCAAGTGACTTTTCTCATACAACACAGCCATGACGAGCCTGCATTGCTAATGCCAATGGGGGTGGCATATCCTGTCACAGGGGCTAGAACCGTGCCCATTTCACCCTCTCTTTCATAATCCCACACGCTTCTTGTTCCATCTTTATCAAACAAACTGATGTCAATAAGTCAAGTTACTGAAGAACTCAATTGTGTAGTATTAATATATCCTGCATTTTGTCTTCTTCAGGATATTCTCAGCAAGGAGATCATTGGGTGTGGTACTAAGAGAGGGGGGCTCTATTATTTGGATGATTTTAGCCTAAGAAAGGCAAATCACATGCAAACTCAAGCCAGTAGCAAGGAAAAACAGATCTGGTTGTGGCATCCATCCTTTGGTTATTTATGGCACCTATTTTCGGATTTATTTTTACATTTATCGAATGTAGACTTTAAATGTAATACATGTATTGTGGCTAAGAGCCATAGAATTTCTTATCCAGCAAGTTTGAATAAAAATGTTGTCCTTTTTTCCTCGGTACACTTTGATGTATGGAGCCCTTCACTGGTGACTACTCCTTTGGGATATCGATGGTTTATGATTTTTGTCGATAATTGTACTCTCATGACGTGGCTCTATCAAATGAAGACCAAAGATGAAGTCTTCCCTGTTTTTCAAGCATTTCATACCATGATTTAGACCCATTTCTCAACCAAGATACAAGTTCTTCAGTCCGACAATGGTAGGGAGTTTATTAAATAACACTTTCAGGCCTATTTCCAACACCATGGCCTCCTCCACGAAACATCTTGTTTTCGGACCCCACAACAAAATGGTATTGCCGAGAGAAAAAATCGACATATCTTGGTGACTACTCACGCTTTACTCCTTGGCACACATGTTCCTAGTCACCACTGGGATGATGTAGTTGCTGCTGCAGTATACTTGCTCAATCAGATGTCTTACAAAACGTTGAATTTCAAGACTCCACTATAGGTTTTATCTACTCATTTTCCTGTGCCCTCAGTTCTTATGCTTCTTCCTCGAGTTTTTGGATGTGTTGCTTTTGTCCATCTTCAAAAGAATCAACGTACCAAGCTGGATCCATGTGCAGTTCGGTGTATTTTTTTGGGATATGGTTTGCATAAAAAAGGCTATAGGTGTTATGACCCTACTGCCAATCACACCTACATCACCATGGATGTGACCTTCCTTGAGTTCGAGCCCTTCTTCCAAACCAGGATGACTAATTCAGCTCTTTAAGGGGAGCCTATGGGTGAAGATCTGAATTGGTTGATAGCTCCAGGAGGCGAGATGGCACCGAAAATTGAAATTGAAAATGAAAATTAGGAGTTACAACCACTGTTGAACATGGTAGAAATGGGAGATGTTGTAGGTGGAGAAAGACTCGAGAGTGAAGAACCTGCAAATGAACTCGAAAATGAAGAACCTACCAATAATGAGCCTGCAAATACCCCTTTCACTTCAGTACCCGAAGACTCTCCCACTGAGAATACTCCTGAGGTAAGTCATTCTACCTCTCCTCCATGTGATAATATCTTGGATACTCCTGCTGGTTACATATTGCCTTTCAGACACAATTGTGGGAAACCACCTAATAGATATTCTCCTGATGAGGAAGAGAGAAGATCCAAATACCCAATTGCAAATTATGTGACCAATTAAGCACTCTCCAAGCCTATCAAAAACTTTACACACACCTTGTCTTCCTACCACATCCCGAGTAGTGTTGAAGAAGCTTTAACCGATCCAAAGTGGGCACAAGCAATACAAGAAGAGCTGGAGGCCTTACAGAAAAATAATACTTGGAGATTGGTTCCTCTACCGGAAGGGAAAAAATTAGTGGGATGCAAATGAGTGTTCTCTATAAAATACAAGGTTGATGGATCGATTGACCGATACAAGGCAAGGCTCGTGGCAAAGGGGTTTACATAGACATATGACGTAGATTATTTGGAGACTTTCTCACCGGTAGCTAAACTAAATACTGTAAGATTACTACTATCGCTCGCAACAAATTTAGATTGGCCACTACTCCAACTCGACATGAAGAACGCCTTTGTCCATGGCGATCTTGAAGAAGAAGTCTACATGGACATCCCACCAGGCTATACAACCTCTTCCGAAGCCAAAATTGTATGCAAGTTAGAGCAGGCATTGTATGGATTGAAATAATCACCTCAGACATGGTTTGGCCGACTTAGTTCGGCTATGAGAAATTATGGGTACGTTCAAAGCAATTCATATCACACCCTCTTCCTAAAGCATTGACAAGGCAAAGTGACCGCTCTAATTGTCTATGTGGATGACATGATCATCACAGGAGATGATGCAGAGGGAATTTCAAGACTACAAGAGCAACTTTCAACCGAATTTGAAATGAAGAACCTGGGAGGGCTTAAGTATTTTTAGGGAATAGAGGAGGAAAGATCACGAAGAGGCATATTTCTTTCTCAAAGAAAATATGTGTTGGATCTATTGTCAGAGGTAGGATTATTGGAGAGCAAGCCAACTGATACTCCAATTGTTCAGATTCATGGACTTGGGGAGTTTTTGGATCAAGTGCCAGCTGATAAGGGAAAATACCAAAGATTAGTGGGTAAGCTCATCTATTTGTCTCATACTCGCCCAAACATTGCCTATGTTGTGAGTGTGGTGAACCAATTTATGCACTGTCCTAGCGAAGACCATATGGGTGCAGTAATTTGGATCCTCTGCTATTTAAAATCCTCACAAGGGAAAGGGCTGTTGTTCTCAAAAAATGATCATTTGAACATTAAAGGGTACACAGATGCTGACTGGGCAGGGAATATTTTGGACAAAAAATCCACTTTCGGTTACTTCACC